TAAAACCAATTCGCTATCTGTATTTTAACTGGTACTTTACTCTTGTATGTATGGGGTGTTCACGTTCGGGTCGGTCAAAGGGGATAAGCACGAAAATTTCATTGTGCATATTTCGAGAACACATTAATCAAGAAACATTTTAAGACATTATTTTGATTATTTTAAGAATTATTTTGCTTTCTGTATTTTAACTGATATTTTACTCTTATATCAGTAGTATATAGATCCTTTTTTTACGTATATCTTTTAAACTATTACAGATAAACTAATTTGGTTTGAGACATTTAAAAGCACATAAAAAGCACATAATTGTACTGTATTAAGTACTTTATTTTTTGATATAATTTTAATGAGTAGGGGTGCTAGCTTATGTTAAGCCAGCTCCCCACTTTTAATTGCAATTTTCCATGAAACCGTTCGAGCACAAAAAACGTGAATAGAACACATAATTAGCACATAAAGAGCATTTAATTTCTACATATGTGTTATTCTGCTTTTTTTGCGGAGGGGGAGGGGTGCTAACTTAACAGACACAATATATTTTGATACATAGATTAAATCACTGAAGATGTTACAAATATTTCTGAAGTTGAATGAGAAATTCTTATTTTTCAGCAACTGTTTGGTAAAGATCTGGAAAGATTAATAATCTGTTTAAAAGGAAAGAATAAGAGTTTGGAAAAAAATAATAAAAGAGTTATATTAAACTAGAGCACCTGTATCGCATTGCCTAAAAAAGAGTTAGAAGGCACCTTAATTTTCCTTATCCGAAGGTTGACTTCAAAAATCCCTTCCTAGGATCCCTTCCTAGAATTAATACTTTCTGAGATAATTGGCAGAGATAATTTGCAGAAATAATTGGCACACGAAATAAATCTCATAATAAAACCTATATATGTATATGTATATGTATATATTTGTTCATATAAATAAAACTACTTTTTTATGGTAATTAGTGTAGTGCATTTTATTGAAAATAAATACATACTCCCTGAAATAAAAATAAAATATCAATAATAACTTTAAATAAACGTTAGAATTAATATTACGGTAATCTTAATATAATATTGTAATAAAGTTGATAGTTTGTTTAAATTTTTATCTCAAAAACGTTACAGGAATGATAGAAAAACCTTAGCAAAATGTTATTTGCAACGTTATGGCACTCCCATTTCAACATTACTGAAATTTCGGAATCGTGGTCAAAGTATATTCATAATGATGTTCTATACAACATTAAGAACTACATATTTAACAACATTACAAGTTCTAGAATATCGTTGCAATAACATTGTAATAATGATTTTTTGCTTACTGGGAAGAGAAGCGCATTCCTTACCCCCTCCATGGTCTCCAATATTTCCATTGAGCCCGCAGCTGATCGTTAAGGATGTATGTATCACATCTCAAAGCATTACCAAAAATCTAAAATTTTCACAGATTGTTCTATTATTCCGTCTGAGTATCTCTATAAAATTTGAGCACAATTCTCTTATTGGTTTAAAAGTTATTTGATTTTTTTGTTTGCATTAATTTTTATCATATCTCGGGATTGGCTGCACCAATCTTATTCGGACTAGTCGCAATCGAAAGCTTGTATCGACATTGTATTTAAAAAATGTCGTTAGATTTTTTATTACGGATTTAGTTTTTGAGATATTTTAATCAAAAGTTTGTTGACGTATGAAATTTCTTCTTATTCTTATAATTTGATGAGGAAGTAGCTACGAATTATATCAAATTTTGTACATATGCTAATGAAACTATGATAAATATTCGTACAAAAGTTCATTTGGATCCACTTACTCGTTTAAAAGTTATTTACCTAAAACTGTAGCAAAATGTGGTCAGTACGCTGCATAACCCATTTTAGTCTATGAGACTTATTGGCAACATCGCAGTGAGGCAGTACAGATCGATATATTAAAAGTGTAAACACTTAGAGTCAATATCCAAATTTTATCAAAATTTTTTACGATATTTAACATTTTTCGGCATTAATTGATTCCGCGCTTGAAAGGTGACAGGCAGTAATGCCAACGTAGAAAATAATGCGGTGTTGCCATATTTAAAGCTGGCATTAAGGGGATCCTGGAGTGACAGCGACACTGACATTATCGGTCTAAGCAATATCTTTGAATTAGCTGAACAGAATGGAAAATCCTTTTACACGATGAAAGTACGCACAAAAATGTATAGAGGGCTGTATGTACATCATTTTTTCTGATAAACTAAAAAAAAAATTTATTTATATAAATATTGTCCTAACCTGACGACAATATTTGCTTTGTACAAAAATTCTGCAGTTTTTTTAATAGAAAATAGTGATACAGCCCTCTACAAAAAACTGTCAGGAATAATATCGTGCAATTTGAAGTAAGATTTGAAGCCTAAAAAAAAGATATTACTTAGACCAGTGGAAGATGCAAGGTTAGGTGCTCTGTATGTGTGTGTAAGAATCGGTGAGCACTTCTTTATCGACGCTGATCGTGTTTGCCTGTGCGCTCTGTATATGTATGTGTAAGAATCGGTGAGCACTTCTTTATCGACGCTGATCAAGTTCGGCTACGGCTCTAGCATCCCTTTAAATAGTATATTTTAGGTTTACATTTTGTTTTAAAATTATTAATTAAATATATATAATTTTATTACTTTTATATTAAATATATATTTAAATTATTCGATACCTAATAGTAACCGAAAATCGTCTTATAAATTATTCGTTTTTTCGTTTCTTGTAGTTGATTTCAGGGCATTTTCAAGACCAAAATTTTCTGTCGTTGATTACGAAAAATATTAATTATAAATATTCCCTTTCTTGAAGACGTTAAAAATCATGTTATTTTACGATAGTTGAACTTCTTATGTAATATAAATTTATTTATTTTATATTTCAAACGATATAAACCTAAGAAATCTGCAGTTTTCAAATTTTAATCACTTTTTGCTGGTACTGTACATACAACACAAACATCCTTAAACAATAAAGTAACCTCTGTATATTTGACACAATTTGATCATTCAAAAATGTTTTTTTTTTTAGTTCCATTATTGTAATCAACGTGAAATAAGAGATTTGTTAATAATATCATAAATATTAATCTTTCTCACTTACATAATACACGTTACTTCGCACAAGGAATCAGCTGCGGGCTCAACACTCTCGGTTGTGATTGGTGGCTGTCAAGCGAGCCGCCGGATCTTCTCCCGCGCTTCTCTTATTATTTAGGACTTTACTTTCACCGAGGATTCTCATTTTTTATTTATAAATATGTGCAATTTGCAGGAATATAATCTGTACTTTCTTTGGTATCCAAATTTTACCGGCTTTTGAGAATTGGTTTTTTTACATGATACGTATGTACAAGTCATAAATTAGATAACATAGAAAACATTTTATCTCAAAAGTCAAATGTTACAAAATAAACGAATTTCTCACGTTTCAAAACGCGGCCTATGTTATTTTTTTAAGTACACAGTTTATATAATATAATTATGAAGAGATTCTGCACGAGGTTTCATAGTGACGGGGTACAAACTGCTTTGGTGATAGGGCAAGGATATCTTCTCAGATACTCGGCTAACGGACGATTAGTTCAGTCAAATTAGATCAAAATATTGCGAATAGAAAAAATAACCGGTAAAAAGCTATAAATTGGTGGAGATCTTTATCTTGGCATACTATTGAACATACTGAAAGTCCGGACCTCTATCTGCAGAACTCGATCCGCCATCTTGGAAAAAAAGTGCTCCAATTCAGTTTTTTCCTCATATCTCGGTAATCGTTGATCCTATCGCAATGAAGGTTATATAAAAAATAAAGCTAATTAAATTCTCTATAAAAAAAGGTTTAATACATTTTTTTCGTAATTTTAATAGTTTTTTTGTAATACACAGTTGAATTTATAAATATTTATATCACACGTGCGTGGAAAGTGGCCCATTCCGCGCGCGCGATCTGTGCGACAAATAGCCAATTTCCCACGCGAGAAATTCCCCACTAGAAGTGCAGGAATGAGATATTCCCGCACGCAGTGCCTCGAATGAGAAATCTCTCGCGCGTGCGGAATCGGCCATCCGTCGCACAGATGACGTGTGCGCAATAGGCCACTTTCCACGCACTTTGTAATATAAAATAAGGTGTGTAACACGTGCGGGTTGAGAATTGGACACGAGTGCGATCACCCGCACTCGTGTCCAATTCTCAACCCGCACGTGTTACACAAATAACTATTGTATTTTATGTCTCAGGCTGTCGTAAAAATCACACTCTCACTCATGTCAGTGTAGAATCTGTAAAAAAAATACAAATAGACAAACAATATCAAATGTGCGCGTGATATTTCTCGTGCATATGAAAATTTGGCAATTCTTTACTATTTAAAATTGTAATACATAACTAGTATTGGTGGTAGCGTCATCTATGTACTTTTTTAAAAAAAAGGTAAAGAAAGGCGCCAAGTACACGCATAGTAGTGTATATGTTGTTACCTCAAAAAAAAAAACAGTGGTAGTATTATACCTTAAAAAAATCTAAGTAACAAGTGGTAGACGAAATCTTTGTATCTTGAAAAATCTCGAAAAAATCTAAACAGTAGTATCTTCACCTCGAAAAAAAAAAACAAAGTAGTAGTATTAT